AATGTAATAAGTATTTCGTTTTCTAATGAAAGAGTTAATAATAAATATCTAATTATGTACATTGATTATAATTTTATTTATATATTAATTTTAATTTCATTTACCCGTCCCTATACACGTACACACACATATCTATATAAGATAAAGATTATATCAATGGGTAGACAAAGTTAACCATAATTTAATATTTTGGAATTCTCAATCCATATTGTGTCATTTCATTTTTCTTGGTTCTTATTTTCATATATACAAAGATATAAGATAAACAAAACAAATGAAATAAGCGAATTGTTTATATACAAAGATATCAAATCAACACAAAGAAAATTGTAACTAAAATTAACTATTTAATCCAAAATGAATTAAAGTAATCGTAAATAAAAAAACCATGTAAATAAAAAGTTGTCATCATTTTCTTTATATAATCACCTCCAATGTTCCAACATATAATCTTTTTATCAAAGTGAGAGATGGATAAAGTTAACTACAGTTCAATATTTTGTAATCCTCAATCCACATTGTGCTATATCATGTCTTTTGGTTCTTACTTATAGATTATAAATTATATATTTATAGATATAAAAGTTTAAAGGTTTATTAGATCATTATATGTAACTTATATATAAAGTAAATGAAAGGTTTATTCATTTAATGATGTGTTTTTATTTAAAATAATTCAAAAATTGGAAAAAATAGCAATATATATATATATATATATATATATATATATTTTTTTTTAAGTTGAAGAATTTTAAAGTTCAAACTTTTCATTTATCACCTATAAATAAAGGTTCATGGATTGAAATCTTGGATGAAATAGTTATGGAGAAGTTCTCTAAATTAAATGATCATTCCTTCAAACTTTATTCACTCTCAATGGTTCTAAAGCATTGTAATAAAGAGAAGACACATCTTGGATCGCCTAGTTAATCTGGATGTGATGTCAGAATTAAATGTTGTTATTGTTGTTGTATCCTAGGAGATAGACGCTCGAGTATCTCTAGGGACAAATCTGTCTTAAGAAAGTTGTGCTTGTCACGCGCCTTAACATTTTCTTATATATCCGATAATCGACATACGAACAAACTGATTTATATTATTTTTGAAGTTCAGATTTTTGTTTATC